GGGGGGGGGGGGGCTATAACTATTGAACTATTGTCCAGCTAGTAACAGCATGTAATGTTGGTCTAAAAAGAAAATTTGTGTATTAAGCGAGAGGGCATGTTAATACCAAAAAGAAAGGAAAATATATTATACAAAATAAATGAGTTTCTCAAGAATCATTAAAGTGAGGAATTGCGTGTGATGTCTTTGTAAGTCCATATGCACAGTGAAGATTTGATCAATGGGTTTGTGGTTTGTTGTGGGATTTTTTAAAGGTACACAATGCAACTTTAGGTCCTCTAGCAGTTGAGGCATTGAACTTGAAGTTGCTCATAGAGGAAAATTGTTTTGGTAATTACGTGAATTGGGTTTCGGCTCAATTGAATGATGATGTCTGTTATTTCTGGTCAGTATGTATTGCACACACACACACACACACACACACACACACACACACAAAGTAATAACTGCATATAGAAGAAGGTCTCTAACTCAAATGATCTCATTGATGTGTGTAAACAAAGATAGGAAAACAGTGAGAAAAGCTCTCATGTATTGACTGAAACATGAGGCTTGCTCTCTCAAGAGGTATATTTAAAGGGTCTTTCCTTTCTTGCTGTGCTTAACATCTATGTCAAGGTTTTCCTCCTCCCTTGCTTAAATTGCTATTGAATTTTCCAACAGTCTTATGTGTTGTTTCATCTCAGAGGTATTCGCTATTGAGCTGTGATTCCTTAACAAAACAACACATAACCTTCACATTTTGTACTTTCATGAATAAGGCTTGAAACTCTTTTAAAATCATATTGGACAAAAAATATGTCGTTTTAGTTTGCATTTACTTTATATGAGGTTCACAGTTTTAAATCTTGAATAAAGAAGTGAATAGTATGCATCTTAAAACCCTCATTTGTTTAATTAAAATTAAATTAACATATTATTGAAATCTTAGAGTAATAAAACAAAGGATGTAATAAAAAAGGCACCATTCATACATTAAATTAGGCAGTCAGTCATAGGTAGTAGTTTGGCACCAAATATTGATTAGTAGTTATTAATAAATGACAGAAACATTTTTTTTATTATTACAATGGCATGGTTAAATGAATTAGTTGGATGCAGTCATCACAACAATCTATATAGAATTTCTATAGAAATTCTTTCTACCATGCTCTAGAAAGGTTCAAAATGGTATCACTTTCTGAGTGTCACAAGTTTATGAAACATTTCAGGAGAAAATTATGTAGGTTGAGTGCAAAATAATGTTGTGTTAGATAATAGTTTTTTTCATCCACGTACATTTATGCAAAAATTAAAAAATGTAACTATACATACAATTGTCTGGAGATTCCAGCTGAAAGGAACATAGTGGTAGCAATGCACCAACAACTTGTATTCCTTTTCACACAAATTATGATAACAGCGACAGATTATTGATTAATAAAGATTTATTTTCACGTTTCTTTGCATACTAGTATTTTATGACCTCAAAACTCGTTTACTATAGTGCATGATTTGTAAACGAATACAATTTTGATATTTGCATCGTTGGCTTTTCTGATTTAGTAAACTGGCTCAGTAGCTCACCTCGTACAGCACTGCACTTAATGCAGAGCACTCCTGAGCCCTTTACAAGAACAAACCGTAACATAATAAAACTGTGCCAGATTGATGTCAATCTGTTCCAGATCAAACTGAACACACTATTAGTGGCACTCACTGGAAATGTCAAGAAGTGACGCCACAGGCATGTTTTTCCAATGAGTCCGGGTTGCACATTCTCTCTCCAAATCAATATGAGCTGTTTATTTTAATGAAGTAATGTTACACCAGTTTGTAACAGAAAGTGCCATCTACCCACCTTAGTGCAGATGCCATTTTTGTAATGTCTTGCACTGTATTTTCTTTTTTAGCTTTTGTCTGATGATAATTATGATGAGGTAACCTTTGCCCCTAGGTCATGACAAAGAAACATCATCTGATCAGTAAATATAAAATGAAAATGTATTTAAAATAGGCTAATGCCGTAGCATCTGCCTGAATATTCATTATTGTTCTTTTGGCAGAAGGAGGAACTTTGTTGTGAATTATGAGTGCAGCTGGAAACAAGAACTGGTCTGGAAACATACATGACAGTCTGTCTCCAGTAAATTATGTTCTGGTGACTTCTGTACACCTTGTGCATTTAGCTTGCAGGAAATTTTAGACTGGATGTGCTTTGTTCCAAAAGCCCAACAGTGCTAAACAGTGTATGTGTGCTCTTTGTAACATAATTCTAGAAATTATTCAAAACTGTATCTGCAAGCTTGTGAAGAATGTAAGTAATATTGTAACCTTTTTTAATGCATTAATGCTGATCTCAAATGAGTCATAAGTAATGACTGCAAAAATACATTTTTGCATTTTTACCCTACATAGGACAAGTGGTTTGGAGAACGGATGGAAGGATGGATGGCTTAGAAATGCAAAATAGCTATAGTACTTTTACAACATGGAACATAGTTATATGATAAAAGTACTTCATAGTTGTTACATGACCTCATCATTTTGTGTGGTTAATTTAGCGGGTGGCTAAGATTTGGCTGGTTAACATGAGCATTTGCACCCCTGTAAGTAGGCAACTAACTTGGAAAGGAAATCCAACGTTTCAGTTCATTTTCCATTCAAGTAAATAGGAACTATACTTGCATGCCTAGAAAGTCGCTGCCCTGGATCATTGTCACGATAGCTGCCAGGTGAACTGACATGCAACATGATACTGTGCTCTCATCTAGTTCTCAATATTGATGCAGTAATGCTAGTGGATGTTGTATTAAAGGTGCTGTATGTAAGTTTTTGACTCTACTAAAGCATAAAAATACCATAATATGTTTGCAGATATTTAAGAAACATGCTAAGTTAACATACTTGTTTATCTGAAAAACAATGCTACAGTCAGTTATTCTCCTTTGAAAATGTGCGTTCCGGGCCGGAATGTCAGTCTCTGTTTTGGTTTGTGAAACCTGCCCACTGCTAGTTTACCCAATTGTATGTCTGCCCACCGGGGTTGCCAGTTGGCGGAAAACACGGCGTATTTCATTCCATTCATCATCAAGTGCACTCGTTCCTGTTGGTGTCGTCAATCTGGCAACCTGCGTGTGCGTCAAGTCTGAGGAGGAGGGGCGGGGAGAAAAAAACCCTCTCCAATATTTTGAATTTGGACTGCAATACCTAGTTCATCCACTCGGTGTCAATCCTACATACAGCACCTTTAATGTCCTTTTTGCCATTTGACGTGTGCAATTTGTCTTATCCTTGCCTGGTCACATAATTGTCACAGATACAATACATGCACACTGAATCAGTTTAATAGCATTTATATAAAAGGTTGAATTCTAAACCAACTAATCTTTCATCATCGGCATCATAGTGTTTGAATATTATTACACTGACATTATGTCATTGTTAAAGCCCTCTAAAGTGTTGGTCTCATGCAACAACTTATTTTTCTATGCAGATGCGTCTAAGAAAGATGTCCCCGAGGACATTGACATTGACATGGACGCCCCTGAAACCGAGAAGGCAGCTGTCGCCATTCAGTCGCAGTTCAGGAAGTTCCAGAAGAAGAAGAATGATGAAAAGTCGTAGTTGCCAGCGGACTTTTCTGTCCATATGGCCCCATCAGGACAGCATGGTTTGATGTTGCATGTAATAGAATCTATTCTGTATGGACTCAAGGGAGGGGGAGGGGAAAGCAAGGTCGTAATCTGTCAACCACTGATCTGACCGTTATTTTACTGCTGTAACTGTGAATATTCATGTTGGTTCTAGCTTCATTCTCCATTCTCGACAAGAATATCTGTTATACTACTGGTGCATGGTTTTCTTTTTTACCTCAAAGTGCTGGATTGCCGGCCTGTCTTTTCTTTGTGAAAGCACAATATATTTTCATTGTGAGCTGCTTATGAAATAGATTTTAGTCAGAAACTGCGAGCATTCCATGTACATAAATATATAGTAGAACTTTTTTTTTTTTCCACACCATTAGATAAAATGATTTAGCATACATTCACATCCCAGAGGAGTTCTAAAAATAGCTTGTCTTTCGAAACCCATATTGTTGAATAATTCCCAGCTTATCTTCCCAAATCCTCACTGTGTGCTCGGTTCTCTTTATTGATTCATGATGTTGAATTCAATGCTGAATGAAATGACTTGAGAGCGAGTATTTGATTGTCTAGTTTGCTGTGGCATATCATAACATTTCTGTTGATTTTCTTCCTTTGCAAAGGATCATGGCACAAACAGTAGCCAAATCAAACAATTTCTATCTCAACTCAGTCTGATTGAAACTATTAATAAACATCCTTGAGTCTCTGGAACTAAATACTGCATTGTCTTTTAATTACAACTCTTTAAAAAAATCTTAAAGCAGGATTCTATTTTTGAATTAATGGAATAATATGATAAGCAGTCGATATCCATGATGTTTAAAACAAAAGACAAGAAAATTGCAAAAAGCATTTCAGTGTTACCTTAAAATAAAATGATGATGCTCTTAAAGGGATAGTTCACGCAAAAATGAAATTTCACCCTGATGTTCAATTCCAAAGCACAAAAGGGAATATTACGATTGACATAACTATAACATAACATAGTGTTCATGTGGCTTAGTGGTAGAGCATTACGTTAGCAGCGCAAAAGATTGTGGGTTCAATTCCCAAGGAACGCACATACTGGTAAAAAATGTATCGCCTGAATGCACTGTAAGTCGCTTTGGATAAAAGCGTCTGCTAAATTATTAAATGATAAGACATTTTTCAAAATGTCTTTTGTGTTCCACACAAGAAAGCAAATCTTAACACGTTTGGAACAACACAAGGGTGAGTAAATGAGAGGATTGTAATTTTTGGGTGAACTATCCCTACTAGTCAGTTGTATTTCTTGAAAGTATTTGTGTGACATTTGGGTCATTCTCAGGTAACGGTGCCAAAATGGCTATATCAACATCTGGCGAACTACCTTTTTCAAGATACATTTTATTCATGTTTTTTATCCATATAACACACATTCATAGCTTATTTCTAATCTCAGTTCATTTACAGAATGAAAAATATTCCACAAAAAAAGGTCCATAAGACCTATTTAAAACATCTCAGTCTTAATTTGCATATTTCATACTGATATCAGAGTCGAAATGGCTGACAGTGCAAGCCATGAACCATCTTCCCTCAGCAAATTCTATATGAAAGCACTTTTAGAAAGAATAGAGCACCTACCCATCGCATCCAGTGAAGGTCACACACTGCACTGAGTAATATATTATTTACACTGAATCGTCTGTGTATTTGAGCCCAGATCCCCATCTATACACACACACACACACACACACACACACACAGACAGACAGACAGACACATCTGTATTGAGGAGAGCTCCATGAAGAAACACCCTCAGAAAGATTTAAAGGCCCAGCACAAGGAAATAATGCCATCAGTGGAGCTGACACAAGGGAAGGAAATAATGCCATCAGTGGAGCTGACACAAGGGGATGAGAAAAAAAAAAAAAAAAAACACTGAACACTGACCATATGGTTGTATGTTCTTCCCTGAGAAGTGTGTCTTGCAATAGTTAAAGCTCTTCTGGATATGATCTTCTCAGTCGACCAAAACACCTGTCTGGGCTCAAGAACATAGTGTAATATTGGAACTAGATTGTTGCTGGTGGTGTACTGTATGTTCCATCCAGACATGACAACACCTAAAATATCATCTCACTCCATTTCTCACAGAAGCAGAAGATAATCAATGGGAGCCTAGGTGATCTCAAACTCGTAGGTCGTCTCCCAAAAAATGGGTCACAGGTCTCTTACAGAGTCATAGATACCACGAAAAAACATTTATTTATTTATTTATTTGTATGAATCATACAAACTTTTTAAAAATTAAAAAAACAACATATGTTTAAGTGGTTTGAACAACCTATTTATTTATTTATGTTTATGAATCATACAAACTTTTTTCAAAATTAAAAAACAACAGCTGTTTAAGTAGTTTAAACAACCTATTTATTTATTTATTTATTTTCATGAATCATACAAACTTTTTTATAAATTAAAAAACAACAGCTGTTTAAGTGGTTTAAACCAGTGTTTCCCAACCTTTTTTTAGTCGCGGCACCCTT